CAGAGGTGATTGTAATTTACCCAAAAAAAAACAACGAGAATATTAATCCTTCAACGTGCACATACATAAATACATTAAATTTTTATTTTTATTTTTTTCCTTGGAATTCCGATTCTTGTCATTTGGGGTATTTACACACGACTCAAAATTATTAGCAATATTTAGGGGCGGACCCAAGCTCTGTTTTTTGGTGGGTGGGATGAGCAGCCGCCCCCTGCAAGATATTTTTCTTTTTTGCTTGTATAAAAAAAGTAAAAAAAAAAAGAAAAAGAAAAAGAAAAAATCCTACTTATAGTGTTTTGTTTTAAGCTTAAAAATTCAAATAATAGTGATAGATATTTTTTATTATGCTTACTTCAATTTTAAAAAATTGAAATACTTGGTTGCTTATTGTTGATTTTTTACCAAAAATCCTAAAAAACAAATTCAGGAGACCACCCGAGTCCTAGTAAATTCATTGTTCATTTTTTCCCAACTCTCGGCCGCCATTGGAATGACTTTGGGTCCGCCCCTAGCGATATGCAAGTTAATTTGCACACCGTCGTTATTTGCCAAATGTAGTGGAGCTGCAACTAGAGTGGTGCAGGAGATGACCGACAAAACACCTTGTAAGAGACGACGGCGTAGAATTTCGAGGGATGAGAGAGCTTATGATCAAGAGATACGTGGAACTGCAAAGGAGTTTATAAGATGTTTTAGATCTTATAAGCTCTTCCAAAGTGTTTGGTAATTTTTTAAAAAAAGATCTTAAGTTTTTTTAAAATAAGCTGTTGGAGAGCAAGTAAGATCTGTTTAAAGAGTACATCTACCGCACATTTTTTTATTTAAGATCTTATAATGAGTAAAAATAGGAAATAAACTCATTATACAAACACTTTAAAAATTAATCCTAAAAATAAGATGTAACATCTTATCAATTCTTAAAACATCTTATCAGACGTAATAGCTTATCAGCTGTTTAAAATAAGTTTTGCCAAACACAGTCTAAGTTTTTCTATTTTAGTTTTCAACTTATATAAAAGGACATTCATAAAGGTTTGACTTCCCTTTATTAGTAATAATTCCGCTTTTAAAAACAAAACCAAAGCATGTTAAGATTTATACTATACTACACCTGATGAAATATATCGGATAGATCTTTACTATTCATATACACCCAAATATATAAACCTCTATTGATGTTTGTAGATTAATAAAAAAAATTGCCCAATACAGCATAACTTTCACTGGTGTAGCATAGAAATAACCGAATATTAGTTGATATGCTTGATCAGCGATCAGAACAGGCTCACAAAGAAGACAATAACCAATGGATAGGTGAAACGTTACTAATTAACTAACAATAACATAAGAGACCCACTTGACATTTAAATCAATATATGTCAGGATCACTTTGTTAAATAATATATATTAAATATATTAAATGTTCATTTTCAAAGGGATCGATTATTGTCCCCATTTCTATTATTGATCCATTCTATATCAACAAATTCGAGCTTGCGCATGATTACGCATAAGATGATGTATTGTAATAACTGTATCTTTTTTTTTTATTCTTCATATGTATTATAAATAAAGATAAAAGAATACATATGTTTTCTATTTGGTTGACCCTTAAGAAGTTGGATAAGCCTCTGAAATTATTGAAGTATGATATTGTTTTGGCAACAATTTACATTTGAAAGTTAATTTATCAAATTTAGGCAGTTGGTGAGTTTAGGGCAATTAATTTAAAGGCTAATGTGTTTGAAAAATAAACTTTAATATGCAGATTATTTTGATCAAATGTCTAAATTGTTCTAATACTTGGAATTTGAATAACAAAAATTATGGATTAAGATGTCAAATGCATTTATTAGTTAGTTAGAGAAACAATTTTAAATTGAAGAAGCAGATTGAGAGATGCTTCTCAAATTATGACTTACAACTATTTATTTTTAGAGAAACAAACGCAAAATCTAGTACTGTAAAGATTGAAACATTGATTATGAGCTAAAAAAACCCATAACCACATAATGTCAACATAGCTTGCTATTTTTCAACAATCGTGAATTTACAATATAAAGAAATTTGTATTATTTGAATGATGTTTTAAATATTGGATGACAAAAATAGTACACTTTACAGTACTTTTATGATGTCGCCTAGCGCAAATTTATTCATTCTTGTAATTATCAAACCCATAATATATGTAATTTTTTTTAGGGGGATAAATAAAATTTTAGGGGCTATAATGCAAAATTAGCACACAAATAATAAAAATAAAATAAGCATTAAAAAATTTAATTGAATTTCTTCAGGGTCGGAGGCCACATATAGACATTAGTAATCTTACTTTATCTTTCCTATCTTGTCGTTTTTCTTTCGTTCCTCGTTCCTGTAATAAGCTAGCTCATGGAATCGCTTCATCCATGGAACTGGCCACTACTGAGGGTTTCTCCATTCCTTCTCATTTGACTATGTTAGCCTAATAATATCTCTGTTACTTATTTCAAAAAAAAAAAATTATAGACATCATTGAATGGCGTATCACATAAAATGTTTTTTATTTTAATTTAATTATTAAAAGAATTATCCAAATGTTATCGAGCGACCAAATATATATAAGCTTGCAACTTTGCATTATTCCAAAAATAAATAGAAATTAAATGAAGTTTAAACGATCATTTTTTAGGTATATCTTGTGTAACTACGAGGATCAACTGATCATTTTTTTGCGAGAAAGATTATTTAACATAATTTGATTATGAAGAAACCCTATGTTGAATATTTTTATATACATAACTAGATATATAATTTGCTATAATTAACAAAGGGTAACCTAATCACGCAAACTATTGAGTATTGACTAATTATATTTTAATCAACTTATAATGCATCATGACTAATGTTATGATCCTTGAAATCTATTAATGCTATCTCCTTTTATGATAATCAATAACTAATTCTATTGTTGAATATTAGTATTGGGTGGTTGATCTGTGTTTAGGGTAGTTTGTTGGACCACTCCGCTAATTGTTTTTTTAATTATCATTTATTATAGGTTAAATGAGAGAAGAAAATCTCAAAATACTAGTATGGGCTAACTATGAAATCACTATGGCCTATGAAATCATTATCATATTATCAAGGGAAGAAATTGGAATGAAATTGTCGAATTCCGCCAATTCCAATATGAAAATATTTTTGAATTGTATTTTTCATTCTGATTTCTGAAGTTCTGATTCTTCCGATTTTATTTGGAATGGAATAGAAATGGTATATAAAATTACCGAAAATTATGATTTCCGATCCGATTTTAGTTCCGAATATTTCTATGATTTTTCGATATTATATAGTATAATTTTATAATATCTGTTGTAATCCCATAATATAACTTATGTTATAGGACAAATTGCATGTCACCCCCTATAATTTTTTATTTTTGCATTTCACCCCCTATGTTATAGATTTTATTTTTGCATTTTACCGAAAAAAAGTGAGTATTTTACCCCCTCCAAAATGTTATATTTATTGCACATTGCCCCGATAGCAAAATCCCGATAGATTATTAACCAGAAATTGAGTGTTTTTTTTTGCACGTTGCGCCTTAAAACATTATTTTTCTGCACATTGTCTGTTTCAAATGTTATTTATGTTGCACGATGCCCACCGAAAATTAGCTTTTAAGGCAAAGTGCAAGCAAAACAATATTTCGAGGGGGTTTTATCTTTTCAGAAATTTTAGGAGGGAAAAGTCCCAAAATGGAATTTTATAGACGGTGAAATGCATTTTGTCCTATGTTATATTTTATAAGGAAAATATAAATACCAAAAGGTCAAGGTTAAAAAAACCTTAGAAAAGATTAATCGATATCAAAAACTTTATGTTGTATTTTCCTTATAAGAAAATCCATGTTTGAATTTGTTGTTCCTGCATGTGTTTTTATTTATTGCGTTTTGTCGAACTAATTAAACTAGAACCATACATTTTTCACTGTCGAAAAAATGAAATTTTTCCAAAAAAATCATTTCCGATACATTCCGCCTGATTTTCACCCCTAACATATTATAGATGCTTTCGCAAATTGAAGGAACGATCAATGAATTGAGAAAATAATGTTCCGATTATAATACCGTACATTTATTCTAAAGGAATAATTTTGCATTTTGCATTTTGCAATTTCCTTCAAATAGATCGTGGACTAATTCTAACTTACAAAAGGCCATAAAAGTGTGTTAAACCTATAGAAAAATCCTTTTTGCCTTTGAAGGAATGGCATAGTCAATTTGGCGCTAAAAAAATGTTTTAAGCGCTTAAATTTTCGTTGCAATAGAACAAAACTGAAAAAGAAATTTTGGTACGCAATATCATCTACTTACTCACTCGCCGTTAATCAAAAGATTCCTTTGCCAAAGATTTTTCAACCTAATTTGTGCACTTCAAAAGTTGTTACTTATACTACATTCCTTTGTGTGTTTCACGCAATAAAAAAAATAATAAAAAATAAAAAAATATAAAAAAATAGGAAAAAAGAGAGAATTAGAATACGAGATTTTAGCACATAAAAGATGGTACGGATCAAGATTCTTTGCTACAACCAAGAGACACAATGCATAAGCCAATAATGAAAGGGGAATCAATATAATGCGCCAACTCATTAAACAAATATCTTATAGATATACAAAAGTACCTAATTTAAATGAAAAATAAAAATACCACAATGCATAAGTATTATCCACGCATATCTCATTATTTTTTATGTCGACATAAAAATAAATAGTGTTCTATCCTGATTAGCAAAGCCCACTTTATTATGCTTGGCTTAACTCGCCATTAAATGAATAATGATTAAAGATCCTAATTTGAGCATTGTTTTATTGCGGGGTGTTTTGATAAGATCAAAG